TCCAAGTCGGTTTTGCTGTCCCCCAACCCCTGCCCTGGCCATAACCTGTTTTAAGCTTGGGGTGCACATGAACTCCGGCGTATGGAACCCCCAATTAAAAAAAAAGTTAAGATCAGAAGCTTCGGGTATTCTTCTTCAGCATGGTTCCGGTAATTTATCACAACGGACTGGACAACAGTCCCCCAACGGTAGTGACGCTCAAATCAGCGCACGTACGCCTAGTCCAATCGTAGGTTGACGTCACATTGAGGACGGTACCGTTCCATACAAGAACAGAATAACAGTGCGACTGCTACTGCTAGTACAACAGACTAGGGCGTCATCAAATAATAATACTTAACAAATGTATTGCACACCTTGGAGGTGCAGTGCAGCATATTGTTATTGATTCAAGAGATGCGTAGTTCTTTTGGAAAACATGTTTAGCTCGTTAACGTAAATAATACTCATTACACTGACACATGCATTATTTGTGATTACAAATAATGGTTGTTGGTATTAGCGACCCCCACAGATGTATGATTTCACTGCGTCCGTGGGAGCTCTGACCCCTCCTTATGGTAAGGTGACCAGATTTTCAAAATTAAAACCGGGGACATTGAGTTTTGCGGTCAATATATCATTAACATATCCAATTTTCTTCACTGTTAAAGAAAAAAGGGGGACAATTCTGGTTTAATGTAATTCGAACATTTGAACTGTTGGATACAAACAGAAGGAAGATAGCTCATATATGAGACTTCAAAGGTCTTTTATTTTGAAACTGTACATCAGATTGTCCAGATTCTCTCTGAGTGACTAGATGGGATGTCCTGCTATCACCCTGGAGTGAAATAAGTCTTTGATAATTTGACAGTTTTTTATTTATTCTTGTATAAAAACAGAAGGACGATAGCCCATATATGAGTCATCGTTGGACGCAACTTCCAACAGGAGTCATTTGGGGGGGGCCGTGGGAAAAAAGGTTGGGAACCCCTGCATTAATAGACATGTCTGCCCAGTGCTTACCGCACATACACAAACTGCAACTAAATATGTTTAACACTTTTGAGACTAAAATTGGATACATAATTGTGCTATAATTCTGACGTAAGGCACCTAAGCATAAACATAATTCCAGGCTATCTTCAGTGATGTATAACGTTGCTTCTACTCACCTGAGGGTATCCGCCCGGTGCCTTGGCATGTCGGGCACGTTATGCTGTCCCTGCCTGTGAACTCAACGTAGGGGAACTGAGCTATGTCCTCGCGCCGCACGAGCCCGTCCAGAGAGTCGTTATCGGAGTCTTTGTCCTCTCCCTGCCGCGCGGAGCTCTGCCTCTCCGGGAGGAGCGACAGGCTGCTATCGCTGCGAGACCATTTAGCCCCCATGGCGGATTAAGTTGAGTTTCCCATCGACTTGCGGTCTACAGGTTGATGAGAACATCCATAAAGACAGAAAATATGCAAGGAAACTGACGCAGGAGCGTTATGTCAGCTGTGGTTTGCGGATAATGAGCTGTGTCCGCCGGTAATAACCGAGAGTATCTCCATTAACCAGAATCAGCTGACAGTCCAAATGTAAAGTTAGCTGAATGCAATGTTGTCCAGGCGTGGCGTAGCTAGCATGCTAACTAATGGTCCTGTTCTACAGGTATGCTGTAAGCTCCCAGTGCCTGTATCCACCTGCAGCGTCAGTTAGCTTATTTGTACAAACTGTACTTACCTTTTAGACCGAACAGTTCAACTTTGCTATCCCGAAGTCTGCTTTACACCATGGTTTACAGCAGTGCGCACTCACTGCTTTCTGTCAAACAAGTGTCCGTTCATGTTTTGTTGCCTTCACGTGCCCTGCGTAGCGTACGTTCTTCTTCCATCTACGGCAGCTGTATTTTTGCATCCATCTGGATCAACTATTTCCTTAATTTGCATTCTAGTGGTTAGTATAGCTTAAATTACGTTATATCATCTTTATGGAAGAAACACAATTAAATGTAATATGTCAGGCATGCAAGTTTGGCTTTTTATCCAGTTGTTGAAGAGTTGCAAATAATTACTTTACCAGTAGTTTCTAATATAACATTTATTGTCAGTTCTTACCCGTGAGCACAAGCCACACATCATAATTCCGCCATAATTTCACATGTTTATTTACTCTGTACGTATTCTTTATAAAGGCACAAGAACGAGGTTTAATTTTCCCGACACTGAAAGGGTAGCGTTGAACGCAACCCGCCAAGTTCCTGTCTGCTTACTGCTGCCCTCTACTGGTGTGGATGCGCGTAACGCCACAACACCTGGTTTAGGAACATTGGCAATACGTAGACTTTACATGGTAATAACAACACATTGGAGTTTATTTTTTAATATTTGAAGTTTGTTCATGAGTATATAACAGGTTAATTAGAATGTATCTCAATTGCTGGAAGTGCAGCATCAGTTGCTCTGTCCTACAAGCCTCCTCTTCAGCTCCTCATTCTCTCTTTGCAGCACTTTATTCTAAAAAAACAAACAAAGATAAGAATGAGAAACAATTAGAAACTGGTCAAAATGCACCCCTGAACCTTAAAAACATAAAACATTTGTAGGAACTGGTTACTATTTTTGATAAGTAATTGAACTACATTATGCATTATGACAGACAAAAAGTGAAACACCAGCTTTGATATAAATATAAAATTCAACATAAAACGTACCTTATGTCTGAGGGCCTCCACTATCAGGTCTCTCCCTCCCCTGATGCTCTCCTCCTTTTTTGAGGCTCTGAATGCATCCCCAATGACTGAGACCAGCACGTGAGACTGAAGAATGTTAAGTAAATTAATGATCTCCTGTTCAAATAACAACAACAAAACCACCATGTAATAGGAGTGATGTTCTGGGGACACTCACAAACGCCTGGCTCTGGAACAGGTAGCAGTGGTTGGTGTCTGCTGCAGGGTGTCGAGCCACAAATCCAAACACTTTGGGCGAAGATGGTAGGACTGCACAGAAGGAAATAGTGGACAGAGGACACGAGTACAGCAGAAACTGAGGGTAGGGAAGACAGGAAGAATAAAGATGACAATTCAAGGCCAATAAAGCAAGTGAAAACATGGTATGCACATGAGTGGAACATAGGGCCCTCGAGCACAGACATGCAACGAGATTCCACCTCCTCTCCTACATGAGACTTGTTGAGCCTTTTATTTTACATGTGTCTCTTTTCAGTCATTTTGATTTCTGTGTGGTCATTGTGTGGCTTTTTCTTTTTCTTTTTTTTCTCTTTGTAGTAGTTGTATATGTTTTTGTAGACATTTTGAATCCCTTTGTAGTCATTTAATGTTTCTTTGTAGTTGTTGTGCGTCTTTTGTAGTCCTGTTGGGTCTCTTTGTGCTCATTTTGTGTGTCGTAGTACTCTTTTTGTGTCTCTTTATGGTGGTTGTATACGTTTTTAAGTCATTTTAGTTTATTTGTGTTCTTTCTGAGTCTCTTTAAAGTTGTTATGATTTTCTTTGTGATTATTGTGTCTTTTTAGGAAAGTATTATACATATTTGTATTCCTTTTTAGTCTCTGTGCCCTTAAGTCCCCTTCAGAACTTCATCTATACCGATGCTCCCTTGTTCTGGTATAATAATTGAAATACTTTTGTCCCTCACCTTGGTTTTGTTTTCCAATATGTCAATCCCACTGAGCGAAAGGAAGAGATGGACCTTGCTCTTCCTCGCTGCCTTCTCTGAGGAGAATTGATCTGGAGTCTGGGGAAGAGAGGGGATGAGTACATGTCATGTTTGTAACTGCATCTTTTCAACATATTCAGTCAACACGTTTATATAGAGATAGTGGATACCAGAGGTGGAAGAAGTACTCAGATTTGATACTGGACTAAAAGTAGAAGTACCAGAGTGTATGAATACTCTGTTACTCTGTTAAATTAACTAAAGTTATGAAATAAATGTGGATTAAAAGTACACCATTTACCTCTAGTGGAGTAGAAGTACAAAATAGCATCAAATGGAAATACTCAAGTAAAGTACAAGTATCTCAGAATTGTACTTAAGTACAGTACTTGAGTAAATGTATTTAGTTACTTCCCAGCTCTGGTGGATACAATGTCCCGCTATGATACAGTTCTGTCAAATGTGCAAAAGAATCCAAGCTTTAAGTCAACATTGGCATGACAAATCATATGAACATATCATTGATATAAACTCTTATCCTAGTTGTGTATATATTTGTTAAATATTATACTATAAAAGGAAATACTTCCCCCCTATACCAAATGGAGAAGACAAATCCCTTATTTTTTAGAATTAGAAAAAATAAGAATTTCATGGAGGAAGATAAGGGCCACATGTGATTTCCCTATTAGTTCTGAAATGTTCTCTGAAAAAAAAACACTGTCAGATTTCAAAAAGACATTTCCCATGTGGGCCTTATCCGATGCCGTAGACTTTCATCAACCTGCTCCTCCCAAAAATGAGATTAAGTCTATGTGATATTAACCAATAGTGTTTTGTGGTGTGGGCGGTATCTTTCTCCTTTTTCATCTATTAATGACTACACACTGTGTCATTCTTTGTAAGCTGTTTTGGTGTATGTAATATAACTGCTCTGATAACACATGCAAAACCCAATACAAAAAGTTAAAATAAAAATAAAGAGGGAAAGGCTTCAAAAATAAGCGTTAAAAAAATGTAGAGCGGTAGTTTCTCACCTTTAGGCTCTGAGCAGCCTCAGACAGAATCTTTAGTCCATCAGAGCGGACCACCTCAACCCGGCCAAGAAACTACAGTTTCAAAAAGAAAAGAAAACGCAAACAAAGAAAAAATTGTTGAATATCAAATGAATGTCACATTATGAAAAGCTGCTGTACATACAGTATATAATCACAAGTCGATGACAAACTAAGCCACATTCAGAATAAGTAAATACAAATATCAGCATTTACCTTTACTGGAAAGGAGATTTCATTATCTTCCTCCGTATCACTCATTTTAACCCGTCTGGTGCCAAACTAAACCCTGCAGGCTGACGTTAAAATAGACATTTTAAGGTATAATATGTTCTAATGATTGATACAATTCTGTAAATTAATCTTACCTGAGTGTAAATACAACGTATCCAGAGTAAACTGTCTTCCTATCGCTTTACAGCCGGACGGGTGTAAAGTCTGTTGGAGTTAATGAGTAACTGTCAAGTGTTCCTTATTGCTCTTTATCAGATATCAGAGTGCCTGGAAATGTCAAATACATCTGGTGACTGGCAAACATTTAAAATGACCAACATTTAACGGCATGTTCAGTTATTAAGACGTTGTTTGGACTTTTTGGATGTTATTTCCTGATAGATGCTTCTCATGCATGAAAGCCATGTTACAACACGATATACTGCATTTACCTTGTGTTACCTTGTATTGTGTTGCAGAGTGCAAAAATGAAAGGGGCCCTATTATGCTTTTTGGGGTTTTCCCTTTCCTGTAGTGTTGTATTGGTTTAAGAGCATGTACATGGTTTTCAAAGGCTAAAATCCTCTGGTTTATCTCCCACACACTCCCCCCTGTCTGAAACACTTCCATTGGACTCCTTTGTTTACTTCTGGAACATAATGACATCACAGTGTCTCGTGGATATTTTAAACTCGTCAATACTGTAAAGATGTACAATGAGAGTAATCAATAATAAACTGGTGAAAGCAAACAGCGTTGTCTTGTTGGTTATTTATTTGAAGCTTCAAAGGCACAGGTCTCACAGAGTATAGGATAGTCTGCGCAATAGTGTGCGCAATAGTCACATAATAGCAAAGTCTATATACAAGATAGGGCGGGCAGACAGAGTTTTGTGTAGCTAGGCAGAACGCCTCAGAAATCTGCTTTCACACGGATGTCTCATATTAGATTAGATTAGAATCTTTAATGACCACACAGCCAAACTGGTGGAATTCGTGTTCAGTGCAGATTATTACAGCTTGTTCCATACAATTCAACATACAATAAACAGACAATAAAAAGTACAACACACAGCACAGGGGAAATACATACATCATGACATATATACATAAAGTTCAAGGTGTGATTGATTGTGATTGTTCATTGGGGTTATTTAGAGTCCATTTAGTGTCCGCATTGCAAAGGGGAAGAAGCTGAAGCGGGCGGTTTTGGTGGACAGTGACCTGTAGCGCCTCCCTGAGGGCAGAAGTTGGAAGACAAGGTGAGCTGGGTGGGAGGGGTCAGACAAGATTTTCTGTGCCCTTGTGACAGTTTGTTGGTGAAGTGATTCGAGTGATGGAAGGGGACTGCAGGCGATTTTTGATGCTTTATTGACGATACGTTGAAGTTTATTCCGGGAGAGGTTGTCTGAACTGCTGTACCAGACTGTGATGGATGATGTGAGGATGCTTTGGATGATGGCTGTGTAGAACTGGATTAGGAGATGTTTCCTCACTCTGTATTCTTAGTGATTTTATAAAGAACTGTGAGTGTATTCCGTTATTGCGAGTTACCTTCTGGGTGTGTCTGGTGTTGATGTTTTTTGGTTGGTTCCGATAAGGGAAAAGACGCCGTCGGCAGTTGGTTTTATGTGTCTCACTTCTTTGTAGAGGGATTNAAATTCAAGTTAGTAGCTATTAAAAGGCATAAAAAGACAGAAATGTATAATTGTTTCTTTAATAGAAATGTTTCTTCTGTCCGTAAAGTGTCCAAACCAGGCTTCTGGTTTGGACACTTTACGGACAGAAGAAACATTTCTATTAAAGAAACAATTATACATTTCTGTCTTTTTATGCCTTTTAATAGCTACTAACTTGAATTTGTATTCAAATTCCCAGTTTGGGAACCACTGTATTAATGGTATGTGGTTCATGTTACAAACACTGCTCATGTCATTTAAACTGGTATTTAAGAGCCCAAACCAATGTCATTTGATGACACTTAAATAATCTAAAAGGAACTTTTAGCATTTATTATTTTCAATGTCCTCGCGAGACTTTGTGTTTACCTAGGGCTGCACAATGTATCAACATTTACTTCAATATTTGCTATTCTACAGACTTAATAAAACATGTTGTTTGATACAGGTCATGCTAAAAAAACAACTCTCTACTAATGTGTATACATTTTTTGATGATGAATAATGTTTCAAATGTGTTTATCATCCAAAATTGCGAATCCATTGCAATTTCAGTCAAAATAATCGCAATAAGATATTTTTTCCAAATTGTGCTAACCTATTCAATACTATGATTTGAGACCAACAGTTATCAATATGTTACATGACCTTTTATCTCTTACTTTATATAAGTGAATGAACTGGTTGCACTGATCCCATACAGCGACCAAAGGCTACGACCCCAAAGAACGTAAGAACAATCATGTTTTTCTGTTTCCCTGCTGTTCATTTAATTATGTCAATTCGAATGTATGTTTTAGCATTACAAACATTTCATCCTGGTGTGTTCAAGCTTTGAGATAACATCATTGTGTTGGTGTTGTAGGAAGCTGTATGTGGTCCTGTCAGTGGTGTTGTGCCTCCTTGCTTCCTCCCTGGTGGCCTTCTTCCTCTTCCCTCGCTCTGTGATCGTGGTGGATGATGGGATACACTCTGTGTCCGTACGCTTCGACAACTTCCAAGATAAAGTCCTAATGAACATGACGGTAGGTTTTCTCTCATACATGCAGCATACTGTCTAATACAACCGGCCTGCAGTTCATTCCACCCTCATGGAGGTTCTCACATGACATGCTCATATTAGAATACTTTTATAGACAAAAGAAAGACAGTAATGTAGCGTCTTATGCTAAAACTCAATGTATGTACCTTGTGTTTTTAGAATGGAGGCACTAAAACTCCCCTGGAAGAAAACATGAATATCTTTAATCCTTGAGCATTAAGTAGCGAAGCTCTAGTATTTTAACAAGTTACACTTATTTTTAGATGTACAAAGGACGGGAAATAATTCAGATCAAAACAAGTAAATGTAATGTTTTTCCACGACTTGCCTGTCTGGGTTTCAGTCGTGAAATGTTTGTGTTCAGACATGTTCTTTTTCCATTTAAAGGTGATCTATCATGCAAAATGCACTTTTGTACGTCTTTTATACATGAATATGTGTCCCCGGTGTTCCAGGGAACTCACCAAGTGTCAGAAAACACAACCCTCTCTATTTTCCTCCATACCCAAATCTCTTAAAATGGGGCTGCAACGGATCTGATACAGACTGATCCAGATTTGAACACTTCTGTGACGTCACAGAAGTGACGCTACGGCTATTGGGCCAACTCCACCAATCAGGAGGAGACAGCCACGGACATTGCCGTTCGAAAGCGCTGGAGAAGCTGTAGTACATATGCCAGGCCTGTAGATGGTGCTGTTCTCACAGAATCAGCCCATGCAAAGACAGTGTTAAATTGAGCGAAATGAGGAATGGCTAAAATGCACGATCTGTTTGGTATTTTGAAAAATAAAAAGTATAAATAGGCCTTATATAGGTATGGTCCTACACTATATTATTCAAATATAGCATGATGGGTCCACTTTAAATGTGTTTTTTGAGGATGATATTTATGGTTTTGTTAAACTGTAGTAAATAACAGAGTTTTTAAACTCCTAGTTTATATGAATGAATTGGACATAATATTATAAACCAATGTCAGGTTGGTGTAACTAATACACCTTATTAAACATAAAATGCTAATCTTTTGCATTTGTATTCTCTTAGATGGGCAAATTGGATGTGTTTTTCCTGTCAAAACAACATTTGACTTTAGTGGGGATTTATGATATAGTCTAATTTTCTCCTTCTTTATTTATTAATATTTATTAACTTCCTTTTCCACAGAGCACTCT